TGAAACACATCCTTCTCAACCAAAGTAAGAGTTTTGTGGAGACTTTTGACCAGAGAAAGGTTGATAGTTGTTGAACCCCTGTTGCTGCAGCTTTTATCTAATCCTTCATAAAGATGTAGTACACATCTTTTACAAGCAGATGCCACTTCAATCAGCATCACTTTCAGGTCTTAAATTCCTCATCACTCCTCTCTCTCAAAACCTGGACACATTCTAGAACGAGGGGAAACTCAAATGCTTTCTGCAGACTTCAACTGCATAGGATTTTTTTTTAAAGTAATATCACACATTCACTAAATGCTACACTGGTAAAACTGTCCAGTTGCCATGGTAACTTTGGTATTGTTTGTGGGCAAGGCAAAGAATTAAAGGTGTTGATCTTCATTGCAAAGTCTCCGTTATTGTGCATCTGTTCAGTTATACACAGAAGTAAGAAAGGGTTAGCCTCTAGTATGTGTGTATATGTGTATGCCCATGGGAGATAGGTAGATAAAAGACTGACTAGAGAGAGAGAGGGGCTGTCCTTGCTTTAAACATGATTAGGAAAGAATTATTTAGACTCTAATGGGAGTGAGCTTGCACCTCTCTTGTATTCATTATCCCAGTTCAAGATTTCCAGAATTTTAGATTGAGACTGGGAAAAAAGTTACATCTGCATCTTAACTTTAATTTGACCAACTGCAATTAATTTTAAACACATAAAAGCTTTAGACTGCTACTTCTGAATCAGTTTAAATGGCATATATGTGTGTGTGTGTGTGTATGTATACCTATAAGTCTGTCTATATTAAAATAGAATAATTGATTTCATTCAACTGTGATGTAAAAGTGTTGAAGTTCAGGTTCAAAAAACAAAATAATTTCTGAGTTGAGCTGAATTTCTGGTGATTTACTTGGAGATAACTATGTAGAGCACAGGTGTCAAACTGCCAGCCCACGGGCTGGTTTCATCATACTGGAGCTGTGCCCACTCCATTGACGGCAATGGCAAAAAAGCCCTGATACGTCATGCGACGTCACATGATGTCACGAGTTTGACATGCCTGATGTAGAGTTTTTTTGTTTTTGTTTTGCATGGTACAGCAGTGGGGTGCTATGAGGATTGAGGTTAATAATGATTGTCAAGCTAGGAAGAAAGGTTGTGTAAATTTTCATGGTCTTCTAAAGCTAGAAATGTGGACTCAAATAAACTTCTGGGGGCAATGACATAAAAAGGTCTGATCTGATTACTATTCCTGAAACCTCTCAAGGGATGGCGACCTGAAGCATCCTCTCTGAAAAAGGAGAAGGAGACCAGCCAAGAACTGACAAAGGCTATGCCAACGCTGCTAATATCAGATGTTCTTGCTTTGACGACAGATGGAAATGTAGCCATCTTTTCTCTATCACTTTTAGAGTTCGTTGATGCTGGGAGGGGGAATGTGGATGAGAGTCCACCTAGTCATAACAATAATACTCAGCTGTGGGAATCTAAGGTTATTGCACCCAGATTTATAAAGATTTAAGGGCTGGAGAGCTGGGGAGAAAGCCCACGCTTGGGAAATGTGATTTATGACTGTTAATTGGAGGAGGGAATTGTGCTTTGCTACTTTGTGCCAAGGGGAGGGGAATTCAATTTTTGGCTTCAACTATGTAGTGCCAATACTTTGTTTCTCGAATAAAAGATTCTTTAAGGTAAACCATGCCTCGAAATCTGTTGGAACCATGACAGGCTAAAGGAGAAAGCCTAGAATTTAAACTCTTAAATATGTTAAGACTCTGGGGATTTAATTTAATTTTTTATTTTTTTGCTCTACAGCAGGCCATCAATTGTTACGTTTAAGATTTCTTTCTTGTCTGAAGTAAAAGTCTGAATGTAGCCAAGTCATATCTTACAGTTTTTGGACAATTCAAAGTGCAAGTGCTGAATAAGGGACTGGATGTCTGAAGAGCTATCATTTGTTTCCAAGCTGTTATGAATCCAGATGTTTTTCATTGTCACCTTCTGTCTGTTTCCCAGCCTATCCCAAAACTAACCAGGGATGATGCTACAAACATTGCTAAAAAGCTAAGTTTGACTAGGTTCTGTAACATACAAATATCTACCTCTATATCTCAACCGAATCATAGATCTTCTGCCCTGTAAATCAGTGGCTGTTAGCCATGTGAAGACATGAATGTTTGCATCTCCTTGTCTACAGAGATTCTCAGTCATCCAGGTCATGGTTGTCCTCCAAGTGGCCTCAATGACTCTCTAACAGAATGCAAATGACCAGCTGTCTGCAAAGAATATAAATCCTTCCAATCCCCACCACCCAGTCGAAGCTGAAGAAGCTTCTTGGATGAGAAGCGAAATGTCTTCAAAGAAAAACAAAAAAGTCCAGTTGCCTCTTGAAAAAAGCACCTTTGGGATGTTTGAATCTCCTTTGAAACTTCAGCAAAGCTTCCATAGGAATGAAGTTCTGCATGCTTTCAAGGCATTTCTTTTCTCTAATTTAATTCAGGAAAGGTTTAGCCCTACAAAACAGATCTTTCTGCTTAGAAATTGTGGCTAAAATATAAGAAACCAAATCCACTGTCATTTTCTTTTCCATTCATTGGCAATTGTCCTTTTCTGCTACCTGATCTTTTTAAGCAGTGATCTCGTTGGATAACCACAAAATGTGATGCTTCATCCTTGGGCAAAGTAAAAAGCAGTAAACCCTCAAAATTATTTAAAATGAAGAATCAGTTGATAAGTTGAATATTGAGCAATGTGAGGTAGGCAAAGCTACTTTGTGAATGCAGTTCTGAGGAAGTTTTGATGGGTGTTCATCAGTATGTGCACATTTTACCTTTTGCCGATCCTAGATATGTTGCCAATAGCTATCGGGATGAACATCGAAGTGCTAGTCTTAACTTATAAAGTCCTGTATGATTTGGCTACTTGACTTATGACTTCTCACTTAGTAACCATTCAAAGTTGTAATGGAACCTCCCCAAAAGTACTTATAACTCAGTTCTGAAGTTCTGTTTGTTTCCCACTCCAGAGTCATGAGATCACATTTCTAATGCTTGGCAAGATTTATGGCCAACCATCATATGACTGTGATTTATAGCATTTTTGTTGAAAACTGGCGTTTATCTTTGGGTTTTGGCCAAAACACCCCCTAGTGAACAATGACTGCAGAAACATGTAAGAACCATGATGATTAGCTTAGCAACCACCACATTTATCTGATTGTAAAATCAGATTGGTCACAGGATGACCTGCTTTAGAGCCTCACAATCTACAACTGTAATGGGAAGGCTCCACTAGGATCCTAAGTCAAGGACTACTTCTACTCCAGCTGGATTCAATTCAATCAGGGTTATCAACCAAGGAGAAGATGGTTGTTGTAGTTTATTTTGTATGTCTGCGTGATGGCAGAAGCTAAGGCTAGAAAGTATTGTACTTCAGCTCAGGGTATATGTAATAATACAATTTCCCTCTAGAAAAGGGGTGAGCAACTATGACAAGTTTATGACCTGTGGACTTCAACTCCCAGAATTCCTGAGCCAGCATGGCTGGCTCAGGAATTCTGGGAGTTGAAGTCCACAGGTCCTAGAGTTGCCATAGTTGCCCATCCCTACTCTAGGTATTAGCCAATCCTCCTCACTGAGGGCCTTTCAGAAGCTTTTAAAGATCAAGAATTTTACGAAAGCCTTTGGAGAATAATTGCACCTGTTGCTACCTGGAGGCTTATTTATTTATTTTATTATGAACTGATATAATTAAACCAGATTGGCATTATTTAGAACTATTTTTATTATTCTGTAGATGTTATTTAGTCTTTTATTATTCTGTAGGTGTTTTTACTGTATTTTGGCAAATTGCAGGCCACTGTGAATTGTGAAGTTTTGATAGATAAATAAAGGAAAACTGTCATATCAACATAAGCAAATAATGGAAACTTTTTTTTACAAGATAGAAACAATCAGGGAGCAAAGAATTTTCCAAACTTAGTATATAGGATTATTAACCAAGATTTGCAGCTAAGCTCAAAATGCAGTTCCATATCCTACCTGCTGAATTGAGATTAAATAGCAGTTTTCTGTTTGGGATAACAGGGAGCTTTGGACTAAATAAACCTTAGACTAAAGGTAATGGTGAAAATGAGTAAATTAGTGGAGTGAACGTTTATTTATTTATTTCGGTCCACGACCAATTTTTTTTTTTTAAAAAATCAACAACAAATCTGATAAAATAGGGATATAAAGATAACAGTAAAATAAGTGTTATGCAGAGAAACCTGAAACAATAACATTAAGGACGTACCAGATGATTTCTGCAAGACATGGCTATTTATAAAAATGTAACAACCTTATTGGTGAGAGCTGAAATTTGATTACCAAGGAGAAAGATGATAACTTCCTGCTCTGAAGAGCAATTAAGATTTCTAACAATCAGTGTTATGAGCTCTGTCCTCCATTTACTCTCTAGAGGACACTCTAACAGTGCATGTGAAATAGATTCAACTGGAGACTAGAAATGTTTCCCGAAAAATATTAAGATCTTTGTTCTAGAGTAAGATTGAAGGAAACAGAAGCTTTGACCTATTAGAGGGTATGCCATATTATTAATTAGAGATTTGAATATGGCTAAGAATAGATTGTTAGAAATAGAAGTATTATTATAACTAGATAGTTAGGATTTATGATTAGAATATTATATCTTGATACGAAAAAGGAAATAAGAATATGTTAAGAATTTTGAATAAGGGATGCTTTTGGTTGCCCAAATACAACTTGTTTCAAAATTATACATGATTGGGATACTTTGAACATGGATAGGAAAGTAAAGTTGAAAAAAGCAAAAATAGGATATGGGTTAAATAAGTGGAAATTGAGTGCAAATGTACTTAAGATATGCTTTGGTTAGAAAAGATATTTTAAACGGATATTATTGATATTATTAGAAAAATGTAACAAATGTTGATATGCAATTGTATGTTTACTAACAATAATAAGAATTGTATTTGCTTGATGCAGAAAAATGGTTATTGCCTGAAGAAGAGAGGATGTTTGTTCTACAGTAATGGATGTCAAGGTGTTTCTTACGGCAATAGGAAGTTCACATTTCAAGACCTCTGTAAAAGTACATCCAGATTATAGAAAGAACAGCTGCACTGTTGCAGCTGGCACAGTGTGTAGGTGCAACAAAGCTGGGGGATGGACGGTGTGGCAAGGTCCAAGCACAGGAAGGATGGTGAGTGGATATAGATATAAGGCTCTCTATATCCACATTTCTTGAAGCAGTTGAATATCATGTTGTTGTATACACAAGTAGTCCTCGATTCGTTTAGTGACTGTTCAAAGTTGCAACGGCACTGAAAAAAGTGACATGACCAGTCATTGCACTTACGATTGTCACAGCATCCCCACAGTCGCGTAATCAAAATTCAAATGCTTGTATTGTTAATTTTGTTATTAATAACTCTGTACTCTGCTCTGGGAAGTGAGGGGGGGTTGAGGGTGGGTGGATGGGTGAGTGGGTGGGTAAATAGGTAGAATAGGATAATATAGATATGGTAATTTATGAGAGAGGTGCTGCTTGGGCATTTCCCCTATGCTGTATTCCTGTATTTGAGAGGGATGAGAGGGGAGGAAGGTGTAGGGAGGAAGTAGGATGGTAAGAGGAGAAGGGGAGGGGAAGAGAGTAGGAGGGGAGGAGAGAAAGAGGAGGGAAGTAGGGAAGGTATTAGAGAGGGTGGATGCAGCTTGGGGAGAATGAGCAAGCGGCACCTATGGTTATGGTTATGATTATGAATTTATTTTATTTTGTAAAGTGAATTTTGTTGTATATGTTGAATAAATGGAAAATAAAAAATTTTATTAAAAAAAAATCAAATGCTTGGTAACTGGTTCATATTTAAACCCATTTCCCATTAACAACAAGGACATTTCAATTGACAAAGAGTGTTTTACCAATATTGGGTAAAAAGGATTTACAGGTAGTCCTTGACTTACAACCATTACTTTAGTGACCATTTGAAGTTGGAACGGCATTGGAATAAAAAAAGACTTATAAATAGTTATAATCGTTGCAACATCCCCAGGGTCCCATGATCCAAATTCAGACTCTTGGCCCCCAGACTCATATTTATGACAGTTGCAATGTCCCAGGGTCACGTGACCACCTTTTGTGACCTCCTGACAAGCAAAGTCACTGGGGAAGCCAGATTCACTCAACAACCACATTACAGATTTAACAACTGCAGTGACTCACTTAATAATGGTGGCAGGAAAGGTCATAAAATGGGGCAAAGTTCATTTAACAACTGTCTTGCCTAATGTTGAGTCCTCGAATCAATACAGCATGAATGAATACAGCACATTCTGTAATTCCAACAGCCCTTTATTTGAAGTAGTTCTCTCTCCGTCACAGCTCTGAGGCTCGCAGGCCTCTCTGACTCCTTTAATAGCATCCCCGGGCAAAAAGGTAATATTTAGGTGCGCTCCGCGCCTCGCGCATGCGCACGAAGCCGGCGCCACTCAGTCTGGTCCCAGGCAGCTTGCAACTGCCCGGGACCATTGCAACATCCCGAGCCTGCCTTTGCAGGCTCAGGACATAACACCTAGCGTCAGAAATTTGTTGTGCCATCCTGTAGTATTCCAAGATAGAATTCATGTACCGGGTGGAGAAACTTGCGGGTCATTCAAAAGAATAAATGGAAGGAACACCCCTGGTGAGACTGGGAAGGTTGGCAGGTCACAGATTCAAAGGATCTGGTGAGGTCTGATTGGGAGATGAAAGGGAATGGAGAGGCTATTCTATCTGATTAATCCAATGAGATGAGATGAGCTCATAATCTGAGGTAAACATTATTTTGTTTAAAAATTGAACAACTTAGGGTCTTTAATCAGATTCTGAAAGTTGGATCAGAAGAGGAGGATCTATAGGGATCTTTCTTATGGGGCAGGGGATCTGAGAGGATGAGTTGCTTGGGGAGTGAACTAGATATGTATATTTAGAGTGGGCCTGTGTACATTTAGAACTGTGAGAACCTGCATAATCTGTTATAGAAATTTCCTCAGACAAATTTGACGATAGCGTGGCTTGTATAGTTTGTCTCTACCTTCCAATAAGGGTTACTCTGTACTTGTATGAATGTTGAGCATCAGGGTCTTTCCAGGGAACTTTTTAAAATGATTCCCCTACATATAATTTGAATATATTCCCTGGTTCTGTTTTAACTCATTTTATTCAAATACCAGTAGTCCAGAATGATTTAATTAATACTCTCTGCATATTCCATCCTACGTTTGTTGCTTTTACTCATCATTTGTAACAGGCCAACTGACTTTTTATGAATCTGAATTATGAGTAAAAATTAAAGATCAACACCATAGAGACGTATCTATTACATCTAACTCTGAATCCATTAGAAAACCTCCATAAATTTAGACTGAAAAAAAGTAGTAATGCACTAGTAAAACCAGCAAGCCTGAGCAACTCAAGTATTTTTCCTAAAATTTGCCAATTCATTGGCAAAGGATGGACTGATGCTTTGTCTTCCAAGCCATTTGCAAAAGGAGGTATAATAAAGTGAAGTGGGTAATATCTTCTTCCAGTAGTTTCTCATTTCTGGTAGCTTCCAAGCACACATTAAGAAGCCACAAAACTGATTTCTGTGAATTCACAGATGAGCAATTTGAACTATACCAATTCTTTGCTTAACAATGGTTTATTAAATAAATCGTATGTTGGTTTATTTTGCAGCCTGCAAATTCAGCAGATATTCCAATGGACAGTGTCAAGTCTGAAATTTAATCATATGCGGCAGATTTCTGAGGAAGCTGACTTGGCGTGCCTCTATATCTCTTTCTCAGGAGGCGGATGTACTTTTGGGGTTTCTGCCTGAGATGATCATGAATCAAGGAGATTGTTCCATCTTAGCAAACTATCATCAGCCAAGCTACCATTCAAAGGAAGCATGGGAAGTTTTCTGTTGCCAATTGTTCATCCATCACACTGAATCTAATGTCACTTGCTTCTTACAACTTAGTGCAATATGGAAGCTAAGTCATTGGCCTTGTTTGCACTGAACTAAGCTATAAACCATGCTTTACAAATCAGAACTGGGTTTTTACAGCATAGTAAGTGGTTTAGCCAAAGGTGGTTTGTTATGTTGGTCAAGATTAACAAAATTGCTTCTTACAGTTTAGTGCAATATGGAACCTAAGTCATTGACCTCATTTGTACTTCAAACTAAGCTATAAACCATGCTTTACAAATCAGAACTGGGTTCGTACAGCATAGTAAGTGGTTAAGCCAAAGATGGTTTGTTCTGTTGGTCAAGATTAACAGAACTGTTGCTATATGCAGATTGTAAATCTAAACACTGAATCAGGTATTTAACATCCTCTAGCAAAGACTTTGGGGTTGCATTTTTTAGTATTTGGAAGGCAACAGATGAGAGAAGGCTGAATTAGGGCCCTGAGCTGAGATTGAATACATACTGAAGGCCTATCTGAAAATGTCAGGGGTTAAAACTGGAGGCTTTGCGTACAAAGTTGTTTCTCTATCATTGAGTTATAAAGTTTCGTGCAGGAAAGATATTACATTGGCACAAATTTTAGACGCACCTTTTCCAGATGTTTGACAAATTACCCAGTTTCATGCAAAAGTTTAGTTGTCTCTGGTGAGGTAGCGCTGTTTCTTTGAATGTCTAAGTGAACAGAAGCTGGCAAAATCTTTAAACGGTACAATATTAAAAACAGAATTTCTACACGTGTAAATGCTCACTTACTATTTACGTGCAGTTATTTACAGATTCAAAGTAAGAACACAGTGAATCTGGCAGGTGCAGAAGTTTGGGCAGTCTTTCAATCAGTACTTTATAACACCTCCTTTGGCAGAAGAGAAAGCTTCCTATAGCCAGCTCAACTCTCTTTCTATTCCTGTTTTTGGAATTTTTCCCACTATTCTTTGGCAAACTCTTTTAGCTCAGAAACTCTTCGCCTTTTTTTTCCTCCCAAAGTATCTTGTGAGATTTAAATGCAGTCAAAATCAAACTATTTCCAAATTTTTAACCCTCACCTCTCCCAGCTCCCCCTTCAGGTCCCTTCCAAAAAGAGACTAGAACTGTTCACTGCCCCTAACTCAGCGACATAAACACATCGCTGGGACACACTTTCCAGAGATCTCAAGATGAACAAATTCAGAGAGGAAAATTAAGCCTATAGCTGTTCTATGGGGTGGTGCATTGCAGAAACCTTTTGTGCTTTGTAATTGGTGGACAGTGTGTTTCAGCAGTGGTTTAACAAACTAACAGGTGGAAGGTCTCTTAGAGGTCTTCTAGTCCAACTTCCTGTTGAAGGGGAGAGATGGTTCCTATACCATCTCGGACAAATGGCTGTCTAGTCTCTTCTTAAAAGCCTCCAGTGATGGAGCATTCACAGCTTCTGAAGACAAGCTGTTCTCACTGTCAGGAAGTTTCTCCTTAGTTCTAGGTTGCTTCTTTCCTTGATTAGTTTCCATCCACTGTTTCTTGTCTTGCCTTCTGGTGCTTCCAGTGCTCCTCGGGCTATTTAAAGTCCCAAGGGAAAAAACAGAGAAGAAAGAGCTCATGGTCGCTACTGCAAGGCTTTTCTTCTCAACCTTTTCTTCACCACGGACCCCCTCTAAATACCTTTTGTGGCCACAGACCATGGCCATGGACCCCCCTCAAGAGTTAATTCAAGATTTAAATCATAACATGTCTTCAAGCCTTCATGGACCCCATGCAATGACATCGTGACCCCCCCTCCCCTAGGTCCATTGACCATAGGTTGAGAACCACTGGCTTAGAATATTACTCAAACCCAACCAATTTTTGAAGAAACAATTTTGAAAACAGGCAGTCCTCAACTTACAACAGTTCATTTAGTGACTGTTCAAAATACAACAGCACTGACCGTTTTCACACTTACAACTGTTGCAGCATGCCCATGGTCACATGATCAAAATTCAGGCCCTTGGCAGCTGACTTATATTTATGATGGTTGCAGTGTCCCAGGGTCATGTCCCAGCGTCAGGTGTTCACCTTTTGCAACTTTCTGACATGCAAAGATTCACTTAGGAACCTGTTTGCTAACATAACAACTGCAGTGATTCACTTAATAACTGTGGCAAGGAAGGTCATAAAATGGGGCATAACTCACTTAACAATTGTCTTGCTTAGCAACATAAGTTTGGGGCTCAATTGTGGTCATAATTTGAAGGCCACCTGTATAGGACAACACACAAACCAAGATATTATCTTGCTAATATCCTTGCTTTGCCTTTGGGGCTGTTTTTCACAAAGAAAGAGATAAAGGGAGATGAAACTATAATACGCGACCAAGGCCTACTTTTTCATCTATTTCTGATACGTTTAGGCTTGCTATGTAGAGGAGGACATCAACTCCAAAAAGGGACACATAGCACATATATTCTCATTTACGTGCCTCTGAAGTATTAGCTTACATTAAAGAGTTTTTTTGGTCTAGCTAGTGAATGTCATGTTAACTCTAGTGTGAAGCTTGGTGATTGCCTTTGATATACCACGATCTTCTTTCTCCTGCTTTCTACCCCAAACTATGTTTTATTAAAGACATGTGGGAGTTATTGACTCTGTGGTTTTGTTGCCCAGCACCCCATGAAGAATAGAACCACCCTCTGGCCTCTATGGAGAAGTTTGACAAGTTGTCTGAATGTTAACAGCAGAGATCACTTGATTGGTCAAAAGCAAGAGCTTTTTCCAAGGCTGGTAATTTAGTTGTTATTAACATGACACAGAAAAGTCAGCGGGAAGCACGTTATAGAGAATGGATGTTCACAAGCTCCTAATGGGCTGAAATAGGTTATTCCTGCTCCGACATCAATTGTATATATGAACAAAAACTGAGGCTAAGCCATCTAACCTGTCACGTCTACTTCTGCTTCCAGCCCCATCATCTACATGTTGATGCACCTACGTATACATTTGATGAATAAATAAATATATACACAAAGCACCTCTTTTTTTCAGACGTCTGTGTATTGAGGATGGACAGCTAGTGGGAAATGCAATATTACAGTAAGGTTAGTCAGTATATCACTGCTCAATCAAGATATTTTTCAAGACATTTTTTTTTGCCAGAGGCAAAAAAGAGAAAATCGCTCTCCACACCCCTTCGAAGTACAGAAGGCAAATTCCAGTGCTGGGAGCTATCCTCTGTAACACATATTGAGATAGTAAAGTAGCTCAGAGCATTCTTGGTAATCTGCAAAGACTTCATAATTCTCCCTTTCATATTTCAGTGCTGCTCTACAAGGACAATTGCCTAGAGCAATTTCTTCACATTCTTAATGAGAGGACTTACTAAGTTGTCAATCATCACAGAAGTGCAACTCCAGGAGAGAGCTTCTGCATTAACAACACAGTTTGATGTATATCAAGGCTGAAGTATATATTTCTCTGGTCTCTCAGAGTTTCTGTCTTCACAGAATTAAGTTTGCTGTTAGAAATCAGCTTCCTCTCTTTGAAGGACAATTTACTCTCCTACTCAGAAGTATTTTGAGATAGCTGGGAAAAGGACAGGCTATTTCACTTATTAGACATTTACTGTACCTAGTAAATGAGGCACACTTGAGTTTTATCTAAGGAATCGCTCCAATTGATTGATTGGGTGAAAGGGATGATCCTCTAGGCTGGACAGGGGTCCTCAACCTTGGCAACTTTAAGAGTTGTGGACTTCAACTCCCAGAATTCTGGGAGTTGAAGTTCATAAGTGTTAAAGTTGCCAAGGTTGAGGACCCCTGATCTAAAGCCATGGTTGGAATTCCACAGGATCATTTGTAGTCATATCTTCTTTCTCATTGGAATATACAGGAAGTCCTCAATTCACAACCACAATTGAGTTCAACATTTCTGTTGCTAAGCGAGACAGTTGTTAAGTGAATTTTGCCCCATTGTATGTCCTTTCTTGCAATAGATGTTAAGTGAATCACTGCAGTTGTTAAGTTAGTAACATAATTGTTGGCTTCCCCATTGACTTTGCTTATCAGAAAGTTGCATTCATGTGATCATAGGAGCATGGAACACGGCAACTGTCATAAATATGAGTCGGCTGCCAAGGGTCTGAATTTTGATCACGTGACCATGGGGACGCTGCAAGGGTCATAAGTGTGAAGTTACTTTTTTCAGTGCCCTTGTAACTTTGGTCACTAAATGAACTGTTGTAACTCAAGGACTAACCGTATCGCCTTCACGTCTCTCATTTTTTTGGATTCTACATCATTACCTATGAACTTTAGATCTTTTAAGGTACCTTCAGATGCCCTTGCTGTATTCGTCACAGTAATTTTTGACTGAAGAAGCACAAAGTGGCTGTATTCCTGGACATAATAGAATTAGGCATAAAAGCATAATGGCAAGCCAGATTGAGAGGGCAAACTGTGGTGTGCAGTTTGAAGAACTTCATTTTGCACGAAAGAAAATGAATTAGTACCGTAGTTGGAAGAAGAAGTGGGAAGAGGAAAAGAGAGAGGCGGAAATTATCAGTGGGAGGATGAGTCATTTGAAGAATTTTTAACAGATTTAAAGCTATAATGATGGGCCCTCAAGTGATCCTGTCATCGGGGATGAGACTGTAATCAGCATTTAAATATCCAACACTCTTGAACAGTTAACTGGAAGACAAAAGACCTTTATTATAATTAGAGTTTAGACACAAACAGCCCTTTAAAATTTCCAGCAAAATTGAAGACAGATAGCAATTGGGTGAACAATTTCTCAGAGGGACAACCATATTGCCAGTGACAATAGAAAAATTCCTTACGGGAGCAGTTTCTTCTGTATGTTTTCCTTTCAGATTGAACAAAAATGTGTGAAGCGGGGGGGGGGGCTGTTATCATTTGGAGAAATCATTGTACAGTACATAGGGGATTGTATTCACACCCCACCTTTTGACTAATGAAGTGCAAGAAACTCACTATCCTTTTATGCTAATTTCTCTGAAACGCTCTTATTGTTTCAAACAAAACATGCTGTAAGAAAATCTCTCGAATGAATTCTGATAGGAAAAAAAGAGGCATTCCCCCCCTCCCCCGATGATGCTAATTTCGATCTAGTAGCAAATTGCTAAGATAGTGT